TATGGCACTTCAACTCATTCTCCACACAGCATCTCAAGTAGTCCTTTAAGAGGTAACTGAGGCCATTCTATGTCAGAATAAACCCCTCCATCATTGCCTCTCTGCACTTGAACTAACATCCAAACTGCTCATGAGGATGCCCAAGGCCCTGAGTGGTCAGGCCCCAGACCACCTGCACACCCTTCACTTGGAACACTTTCTGATCCGCTCCATGTAGGACAGAGTGACGGCATCAAGATGACTTGCTCTTTCCTCTGCCTGGAAATGTCCTCCCCAAATTCTTTGACAGCTTTCTCCTTCGTATGGTATCAGTCACAGCACAGACCACATCTTTGAAGATACTATCTGGGACCACTCTACCTAAAAACCCTGCATAGTCCCACTTGCCTAAATTTGTCATATTCATAGCACTTATCCCTATTCAAAATTATTCACCACTTATATAATAGTAGCTACTTCAGAACCTATCTTCCCTCTTACCTGCCCCCCACAAAAAAAAGAAAAGAAAAAATCCACCATGAGGACAAAATCCAGTCTTTTCTTACCCACTCAACTATTCACGGAAAAGCTCTCAAATGTTGGTCCACATTCAATAATTTACTTGTTGAAAGGGAAGGATGGGTGAAATTCGGGTCTGGGAGCATACTGAACGCATGAGTAAAAGCCATGGGATTTTCTCAATTCTAGCTACTCTTACATGTGTGGCTTCACATTGTGTTTTCTGGCAAGAGTGTGTTTAAGCTGCCTAAGCACTGGGGTTGAACACAGCCACAGCATACCATGCAGGAATACAGCCAAGGTCATGTCTTCCTGAGTTATAGCTCATGGCCCATTTGCTGAAAAACTGGCTCTCAGCTATCCTATAACCATGTAATCCATCCTCCTCAGCAGGAGGAGGATGAGGCCATCAGGAGAATCCTAAATTCACAGAAGCCTAAATGATTGGAGTGAAGATTCCCAATGAGCCCTGGGGCTTTGTGAGTAGAAAGGCATCCAAATGTCCTTGGAAGAATGCTCTCCCATGGAGCTTCATCAGAGAGAAGGACGTGTTTGCTGGTGACAGACAGGGCTTGGAGATGAGGGAGTTGAGGCTGAGGAGATGGCTCAGCAGCTAAGAGCACTGGCTGCTCTTACAGAAGACCTGGTTTGGTTCCAACAATGTGGCTACCAACCATCTGTAACTCCACTTCCAGGGGATCCAACACTCTCTTCTGGACATTGCACGACATGGATGCACTTACATACATGTAGGGAAGACACTCATACACATAAAGAGAAAATAAATAAATATTCTTAAAGAGATGAACAACAAGGTTGCATATACAAGCAAAAGTAATAATTCCCGTTGGAGCCCAGAGCTCTGGGACCCAAGGAGAGACCATTATGCTGTATTCTGATGGGAAAAGCCAAGTGTCACCTTCTAGAAAGACCAACTCCAAGCCTACGCTAAGAATCAGGAACTCAGGTACATGTAAAGATGAGCATGTTCTATGAAGTTAGATGTGTGCAGTGTGTGAGGAAAAGAAGGCTTTTGGTGTCGACTGATCAAAACCAAGGACCATACAAGTTGAGTGTGTGTTTAAATGACTGAAAGAAGACCTAAGATTTCCTGACACTGCTGTCCAGTGGTAGAAAAGAAATCATTCACCAATCGGCCAGCATCTGAGGGTGATGACACCCAGGAGTCAAGGGGGAGGGGGGGAGGCCAGATATTTAGTCCTAGTAGGGAGGACATGCATCTCCATGTGCTAGATAAACCCTGCACTGTTGGGGATTTCTGAATCCCCATTATATGAAATCTGCCTCAGTGGAGACATTTCCCAGACATGACTGAATGGATAGATCCATCCAAGAAGGTGTAAAACACTTGGGACATAATGCAGAGAAGAAGAACCTTGAGCCAGAGTAATAAGGAATCTAGAGACTCTCAGGATTTCTGAAAGGCTGGTTGGTTCCTGGGAAGGAGGAGCTCTCATGCACAGTCATCAATCCCAACTCCCCCAAGTATTATCTGGAGCCTGGAATCTGTCCCAAATTCCTCCAGTGAATGAGCTCTAAGCTAATGAGTCAGACCAGATAAGATCATGACATTCTCATGCCAGGAAATGAAAAGGAAATGATGTTTGAATTCTGACAAATGAATGGCAGAAGTCCTGAAAAGACTCATTTCAATAAAAGTAACATCAAAGGGTTAAAATGAGACTCATCCTCAGGTGGGAGGATGAAAGGCACATAGAGGAGAGCACATGCCATCTCTTGAGGTAGCTGTAAACTGTTCCCATTTCCCACAGCATAATTGCTGTGGTTTGAATATGGTCCGTCCTCCAAACTTAAACAGAAGTCTAATCTTCAAAGTCAGTGTTTGAATATGGTCCGTCCTCCAAACTTAAACAGAAGTCTAATCCTCAAAGTCAGTGTCTTTGAGAGGATAGACAATTGGATATGACATGTAAAGGTAGGGGCTTTACAATTTGATTAGGCTTAGATAATGGTTGTCACAATGGAACACAAATGATTTGATCCTGGCTATAACGAAAAAGATAGAGACTTGGCATACATATGTGCACTGTTTATTTATCTCCACATAATGCTCTGCTCTGCCCCAAGAGTCTCCTGTTAAAAGGCCATCGCCAGATCAATGTCAGTCTCATTCCCTTGAACTTCCAAAACTGTGAGCTATTAAACCTTTTTTTCCTTTATAAAGTTAGACTGCCTTGGCCTAAAAGGAAAGTTTATAGTGCTAAGTGTCTACATCAAAAATTTTGAGGGAGGGGGTCTTAATTTGATTAAGAACATTGTATGAAATGCACAAAAGCTTAATGAAGAATACATAAAAAAAACTGAGGGGCTGGAAAGAGGGCCCAGTTAAGAGCACTGGCTGTCCCTGCACAGGACCTGGGCTCAGTTCCCAGGTGGCTAACAATCATCTATAAATCTGTTTCCTGGGGATCTTATGCCCTCTTCTGACCCCCTTGGGCATCACGTGCATGAGGCCAAACACTCATACACATAAAATAAAATAAATAAACATTTTCTAAAAATGTGAGAGATCTCCAAGTTAATAACTCAATGATACATCTGAAAGTCTTAGAAAAGAAGAAGAAACTAAACCAAAATAATTACAGATGAGAAGAGACAGTCCAAATCATGGCTAAAGTGAACTAAATGGAGACTACAATGAAACATATGCATTTTATAAGAGTTTGAAAAGGAGTTCCCCTACATTGGTGAACAATGCTGCTATCAGAAGACATAGGTTATTACATGAAAATCTAGTGCCAGGCACAGGTTCCCTATGACTTATTGATTAAAGGAGCTCCAGAGGCACCCAAAACAAAATAGCTATTGCCATAGTTCTTGACTGCCCCTAGTAGGTGAGACCCTATTGCTTAAGACACCACATACTCTAGTTGCAGGGCAAAGAGAAATTAATCTTGAACTTGACCAGAAAATCTTGCTATTGGCTAGCTTTCACAGTGCTAAGAGGTGCAATACAGGCTTCTGGGGGAGCATACTGCTTAGTTTTGTCAATTGGACACAAAATGGAGATACCAGGGAAGAGGGAAATGCAACTGGGGAATTTCTTTCATCAGATTGATCTACAGGCATATCTATGGTGGTACTTTCTTAACCATCGGTTGATATTGGGGGGCAGCCTACTGTGGGTAGTGCCATCCCAGGGCAGGTGGGCCCACAAGGGGTGAGGGAGGCAGACGAAATGAAACAATCCGGTGCACAGCTTTGTTCCTCTGTTGTCTCTGCTTCAGTTCCTGCCTCAAGGTTCCTGCTTGAGCTCCTGCCCTGATTTTCCTCGATGATGGACTAAGACAAGAAAATGCAAGCCGAATAAACACTTCTCTCTCCCAAGTTGATTTTGGTCATGGTGCTTGTCACAGCAACAGAAAAACCAAACTAGAAAAGCAAGAAAAAACATCAGTGGTCTTCTCCAGAGCTGGACCCTACATGTTACAAAACTGACCTAACACGCAAGATGTACCCAGCAATAGTGGCAAGACTATTTATGTGGGACTCTTGATTAAATTTGAGGCTTGCTCCACAGAAGGGAACTCATGCCCGGTATTACAAACATAGTCAAAACTCATGGCTGCCCTGAATATCTCAAAATATTACCAAAAATCAAACACAGTGATTCATGGTCACGTAGAAGAGTAGAGCAACTGCTGGGTATATCTAAAACCAGTTGCTGCCAAGAAATTGACAGGAATCAAAAAGAGTATTATCAAATGGAAGACTTGGTATCCCAGTGACCCTTCTAGGATCTTCTACAGTCTCTATGCACATCCCCTGACTATAGTCTTCCAATCATATGTCTTTAGGTCTAATGCCAGTACAACTATCTGCACCCAGGACATGATTATCAGAAACAATTGCTTCTCATTGAATGACATTCAAGTGCCTTTAACTAAATATTGTAAAGAAAAGGAACTTCAAGGAGATAGTGGATCAGCACAGAGGAGTGGCATGCCGTTGAGGACTCTTGACACTGTATCATAAGTACTAAGCACTCTGAGACTCTCTCCCTACGCCTACACAGGACTGATGAGTATATTTTAAATTAATGTAAAATAATTAATAGCTTTGGGGTGCTTTTCCCTGTGAGAGAAGAGCATGCTAATTTGCTTCATGTTTAATGTTGTTCTTTAAAAAAAAAAAAAAAGACAATTGTAGAAGATTCTATCCAAAGGCCTCTAATTCTTCCACTTCAGTGGTCTGAATCCCACTAATAAACAATCAGGACTTTAGACTCCTTAATAATGGAGAGAGATTCAAATGAATTGTTTTGCTACTCTGCACATTCCTGGAGGTACTGTCCATTGAACAGGCCAGCAAAATTATGGATTTATTCAGGACTGATTGCATTGGGTATGTAAGCAGTTGGGGGGGGGGTTGTTGTGAGCAGAATGAATAGGGAGGTTGCAGTTTCATAGCTACTTAGTTTGGTGAGGAGCGAAGACGTATTGAGAGAAATGGAGACTTACTGCATGGATGAGCAAGGACCCGGACCTCGTCCACAGCGATGTAGCCAGGATGGCCCTTCAAAGAGACGGATTCAAATATCACCTGCAACACACAGGGTAAAAGTCAGTTTCACTGAAGCAATTGTAGGCCACTACCTGAAGAAGCTGCCCAGCCCTGAGTCCCTTTCTGTGTCAGCTTCCTGTCAGGGCCAACCAAGGAAGCCTCAGGTTTAAAAAGCTCATCACTGTCGGTTGACTTGGAGTCTCAAAGCAAGGCAAAAAGGTCATACTCTAGTGACCAGCAAGAAAAGCTAGCTACACAGGACATTCTTAATGGATTTCAGAAATAACACTTAGCCGCAGCAAAAACAACCAGAACATGGCCCTGGGCCCCAATCAGCAGTTCCCTCATTGTAGTTTCCACCTTCCTATCTCTTCTGGGTTTTCTTTTGCTACCCTGTATCTTCAGGCCCTCCCTCTTATCCTTAGGAAGTGGTCTGAATTTCTCCTATTTCTCAAAAACTACCCCTTTGTAGTAAATTTTTCTCTGTGGTCAGCCAGTTATGTTTCAATCACACAAGGAATTCTTGGTATTTTAATAACTCATTCTTATCAGTTTCTTACTTCCCACCATAAAACATCAACTATAAAATTCGAATTCTGTCTCCAACACTCCCCTGAAGACTACTTTCATGGCAGATATTATCTCCTAATTACTAAATCTGATAGATCTTTTTACCAATCTTTCTCTTAAAGAAGGATAGTGGTGTCACCATTGAGCTCCAGATCACAACACATCATGAGCTCCAGATCATAACACTAGCTTAGAGTATTGGCTGTGCTACCATATGGTGGTTACTTCCTGTTCCACGATATGGTACACCCCAAATGTCTGCACCTACAATTGTAGTGTCTACCTCGTTAGGTAATTTTTCTGATAGAGAGAGTTAACATTCTACTTAGAAAAATGTGTAGTGCATGAAATTCTCAATAAATCTCAACTACAATTACTACTACTTGACCCACTTCTATACTTATCAATGTCCATAGAGACCCTTTCTGGGTCTCTACTTGGGCTCAGAGAACACGTTACACTTGTAAGATAGGTGATGAGATCAACAGGAAACCTCCATATAAAATCTTTTTTGTGACCATGTGGCGTAGGTCAATGGACTCACAGGTTGGTGTTTTCAGTGTCCTAAAACTCTAGCAATTACACTAGAGAGCAGGAAATGGTGGAGAAAGTGATGATTGTGAAGAGGCAGCTTCCTGGGTGGTAAGAGCTGTCACTTATGTTCTGTGAAGTGATGGGGGATGGGAAGTGACAGTCACACTAAGAGGGCACTGCCTTAGTGTGATGACCACTCTGGAAAAGTGGTTTAATAAGATAGTGCAGTCCTTCAGAGAGACTTAGCAAATGAAACTGTGCAGGAGCTGGGAAATGCATGTAGAAATAAAAATGTGACAGCTCCTTCATCCTGAAGAAGGGGAAACCCACAAAAGGCCTTTTCACAAAGAATCATGCGTCTAGTTGTGTTTTTGAACACTTCAAAGGAAAAATCAGAGTAAAGTCTACAGAAAAATATTAAAAGAAAACAGAGCATGTAAAGCAAATATATTTCAAAGGAAACAGCATAAAAGCATCCAAACTGTGTAACATAATGACAAACATAAGAAAAATATTTCTGTTTTGACAATAAATATAAATGGGTTAAAACACAGAAAAGCCCCCAGACTGTCTAAATAATCAAAGTCTAATTGTACCCTGTAAGATAAACACCTGAGACAGACCAACTCAGTAACCTTAAAAGTAACAAGCTGAACAAAGACATAATAAGTAAATGCAAGTAAACAGAAAGCAACATTACAATAATAAGTTTGTGCTCAGAGTAGAATTTTTAAACATTTTAATTAAATTTTTGCAATTTTCATACAATCTAGTTTGATGGCATTTAGATCTGCTCCCCTCTCCACACTGCTCCCCCACTGCCTCCCACTCAATTTAATGAACTCTCGTATATATAATATGGCCTATAGAGTAGAATTTTAACCAAAACTATTTGATAGACTGAAATGGTTGCTTTGAAAACAGACAAACAGACAAGACCTCAGTAGATGAACTTGCACTGAGGGCTGTCTGGGGAAACAATAGGCCTTAACACAAATGACAGAATGTATGAATTCCAGCGGGGGAGGGGGTGGGCTATGGGAGGGTGCCAGGGGGAAGGGGATAGAAAGATGATTAAGATTGATTTGAGATGTTCTGCATGAAATACACAAAAATTGAATTTAAAAAAGCAGGTAAGATACTTGAAAGGAAACTGATAATGGAAAAAAAATGACATACTATCTGAAGACTCTGACCCATGTGTTAGCTTCTGATCAAACAGAAAAGTTCTTCCTAATCATATGCTAATCATAAAGAAAAAAGTAAAATTTATGTTCAAATGCTCATGAGTTAATAAAATGCTCATAAACTAGAGGCTAGCATAATGTCAGTATCTTATGCAATAAAACTGTATAGATTTGGGGCTATAAATTTTTCTAATCATATTTCCTAAAAGTAGAAAATGACGTCTTAAAAATCAAGTCCTTAAGTTATACAGTATACTTAATAACTATGACGTCAAAGTATATTCCATGTGTTAACAAAAGTTTCAAAGAAAAATTGAAAGTCAAATGACAAGCTGAAAACAACACTTGTAATATATATGTTAGCTAAAAGGAATATATCTGTGTGTGTGTGTGTGTGTGTGTGTGTGTGTGTGTGTGTCTCATGTGTGCAAAGGACTATTGACAGACAACAAAAGAATACTCTCCAACAGAAAAATTAGCAAGTGGTTAAAAAAGGAAAATCACAAAAGATAAAATAGAAATAATAATCTCTGAATGCATATGTTATGAGCAATGGTGCCTCAGAAGACACCTGCTGCCTTTAGTGGCAATGACTGCCCCACCACCATGCTTTGGTATGGGAGGTCCTGATCACTGGAAGATCTCAACCAGGATCCAGGCAGCTCTAGGAGGAGTGAGCAGAGGAGACTAGAGACTACTCTAGTGCTGGATGTCCACAGAGGCAGGAAGGGAAAGGGAGAAGTTGGGTAGAGTACTGAAGTAGGCCATCTATGCCCAGGACATACATGCCTAAGGACCATTCATAGAAGCAGAAACTCTGGGTGCCAAGACTAGGGAAGGTTCTAAGCTGGGAATCTCAACTTCTCTGAAGAGCATTCCTCAGCCCCAAGGCTACCACATGCAACCCATTGTCAAGTGCAGCTAGCTCAAGCCTACACCCCCCTGGAGACCTGGTGCAGGTGCCTAGGTAAGGGGCCTTTCACAGAAAGGTGCAAGCCTGCCCATCTACAGGCATGCCTAGAAGTAACTCTCAACAAAGACTCACAGATGGCCTTATTAAACTAAAATAACTGGGCTGTGCGCATGTTTGGGGAAGGTGTAGACATTTAGGTCAAGGTTTAAAGGACGTGAGGTTTTACTCTCTTCTTTTGCAATCCTTATGCAGAAAACAGGAAAAATGCAGAGTTGCAAACATTTTCTTAAAAGATAAGAGAAAAATGTCGGGTTATCAGAGCTCCTCTTTGGAAGAAGAGCCTATGCATATTTATGGGGTAGTTTGCTTAGAGTAAAACTGAGATACAGGCTTTCCCACACCAGCCCATGGTTAGAAAATGATGGAGCATGAGACAGGGGCCTGAGCTAGGATTCAAAGGGAGGGAGAAAAGGCCTGCTGCTGTGACAAACGGCAGGAGACTGGGCCTGTTGCTGTGATAAAAATCTCCTCAATTGTCACCATAATGTAGTTACTAAACCTAAAGTGCAAGAGGGCAGGTGGATACCTGAGCAAGAAACTGGGTTCAAAGGAGCTGTAGTCAAAGTCAGTGGCCTTCATTTCAGGGCAATTCTAAGTACTGAATAAAAGGCCATTTTACTTAGATAATGAAAGACAGAGCAAGCAGGTAGCCGAAAAACTAGTAAAAGTTTTGTATTGTTTTGTTTTTTCTGAATCTTAGGGCAAAAGTTCCAGAAGCATTAAAATAGGAGCTAGAACTGAGAGCACCCGGACAGGGGTACTTTTTAGAAGCATGTGCCTTTACAGGCATGAAGTTAACTTTCGGAGGATGACCAAAGCTTAAAGGCTGGAGAATTTTAAAACTCCTATCTTTGTGTCTCCTGGGATGGCCCCTTTCTCATCATGTCACCTATAAATATGTATATACATTTTTGAATCTGGGCACATGCAAAGCTCGGAGCAGAGGAAATGCGATGATGCTTTAGCATCCAACATGTTGGAAGTTGGAAGGATGTCTCCCAGGGAGTCTACTTATCACAGGAATGGAACAGATGCTCCTGAAGACAGACAAGCAATGGGTGTATTTGTTTAAAGATGGCTTCCTGCCCTCTTTCCTCTATTTCCCTTCCTTCTTCTTCCTTGCTTCCTTCCAGTAATGGCAAGACTGACATGATGCTGTGTAATTTTTACCTACCCAAATCTGCAGAAGGACCTTTCATGGTACCTGTTCCTCTTTCCATTATACAAAGGACAGAACTGTGCTCCTGAATGGTGACAGGATACAGGCCACATTACACAGCTAGAGAGCGGCAGGTTGCCGGACAGGCAGCCTGTTTCCTCTAAACACAAGGCACAGAGCTTAGAGTTGGAGAACCTGAGTATGATTATGGAAATTTCAATTTATCAGTAATATCCTCTACTCCAGAAGATAGGATGTGCTTCCACCAAATACAGGGAACTATGTACAAAGAAATGAGTGGAAGCACTTGATCTACTATGGAGCGAGGACTATGGGAGTTCATGAAATGTCTTTTCTTCTTCAGTCGGAATCAAAGAGCACTGAAAATGCTGGGACAGTTGCTTTCCTGGGTCAATTTCACGTTTGGTACACTTGCACCTGTGACCCTACCCTGTACACATTCATAGCAGGCTCTATCAAAGGGTTTCTACTGAACGCTATGGCCTCAGCGGCGGTATCCATGAGCTTATGGAGAAGGCATATGTTTACACTCAGTGGAGACCAGAGAATTTGAGTTCTGGCCTCAGATTTGCCAGTGATTTTCTGTCTGCTGTTAGATGCCATTATATATCACTTAGCCTCAGTTTTATCACCCACATCAGAGTTCAGAAAAACACAGCCCAGAAGCCAAATCTAGGCCACCAGTCATTGTCACACATAAAGTTTTATTGGAACACAGCTACATCCATTCACTTTCATATTTTCAACGTCTGCCTTCCTGGCACAGCAGTAGAGTTAAGGAGAACAGAGACTCACCGAAATGAAAATGTTTTCTGTCTGGTGCACACTGATGATAATCCAAAACCACTGTGCTGACATACATGCAGAGATACATACATACATACATACAGAGATTTATAAATCTCTACAGACAGGGAGACTGTGTAACTTAGCATTCAAAAGGGCCCCAAGATGCAATGGATGCATTCAACAATTTCACCAAGACAAGAGCAATAAACCAGAGTTGTTTGAGTTAAACCAGGATGTTGGGCCATCAAACTCTAGAATACTGCCTTTATACTAAGACAATCACATGTTAAAAGCATGTCAAGGTCAAACTTCCATGGCAGGCAGTAGGTTAAATACTAATAGATTTCTTTGTGCTTCCCAGCTCCTTGGCTAGCTGTATCTCTTCAGTGGAGATACACCAAAAAGCTTTCCAAAAATGCTACAACATCCTTCCCCAGGCATCATCTCAGCGAACCCAATAAATGCAGGTTCTTCCATGGATGTAACAGGAGTTCCTTCTTTCAACCATGCAAACATGCAGTAGAGAACAGAGGGCTATACTCCTGAGGCAACTCAGAGACCCAACACACACTAAAGCAAGTTATATCAAATGGGCATTTCATAACGTCAACTGGCGGTAAAAGCTAACTTTGTCTGACTTCATTTACAATCTTACTTTATGCCAGGTCTTATGGATCTATATAAATTTTATGGTAGGGATATCAGCAAGCTTGACTCAGGGGTGCTGCTCAGAGCCTGTGAGAGGCGTTACAAAGTTCCCAATGCATGTACATGTTATAACTTTGTAAACTGCAAATACTGTGAAAACATAACTGACAATGTGCATGTCAGATCAAGGTTTTGTGGCCTGATACTAGTTTCAAAATTCTTCCCAAGAGGCAGGCAGATCTATGTGAGATCAAGACCAGTCTGGTTTGTATAGCAAGTTCCAGGCAAGCTGGGGTTACAGGGAGACCTTGTCTCAGAAATAATAATAAAAGTTCTAAAGAGATTGCTCAATGGTTAGGAGCACTGTCTACTCTTGCAGAGGACCTGGGTTTGGTTCCCAGCACCCACATGGCAGCTAATAACCATCCATAGCTCCAGTTCCAGAGGATTCGATACTGTCTTCTGGACTCTGCAGGCATTGCATGACATGGATGCACTTACATACATGAAGGCAATTCACTCATATACATAAAACAAAAATAATAAATAAAATATTTAAGAAATAGAAATATTTTTCACAAAAAGGGGAAAAGACACAGAGCTCATGAAGTCAAAGGCACCTGTCTCAAAACATCTATAATAAAAATGTATCTCAGTATTAACGACACAGATGTTAAAACCATCGCATTCTCTTCTTAGATACCTATTGGTAACATTTCTCCTCTCACAGAGGGAGTAAGGGCTTTAACTGATACCACATGAGTAGTCAACACTCATCACCATAAGGCCAGGCTTTGCACAACTCACCTCTGCATTTTTATAGGAAATTTTATACTGTGCCTGGAACAATATAAGCACTCAACAAATGGTAGGTATCATCATCATCACTATCATCAACATTACCATCATCATCATCATCTCCTCAGCACCACCATCATTACCACCATCACTGTCTCTCCTCTACTTCCAGAGGAATTCCAGGAAATGCTGAACAAAGGACAATACAATTATTCGAAAAACAAATCAGATGTCATTGAAGATAAAATGGAAATAGATGTGGCAAAAATCCAGGCGAAGTATCTAAGGTAACTGAGTATTAAATTCTGATTTTTAGTTGCCAACGCAAAGAAGAAATAAGGCTTAAATGACCTCATTAATGCAAATAGGCTATCCTGATAGAGAAATGTATTCCTAACACTCACAGATTGAAAGGACTGTACCTTATATGTGGAACTTAGGGACACTGACGAATCCCTGGCCTCTTGGGTCTATCTTCTGTTTCAAACGCTAGAAAATGTCTCCAAGATGAAGATCTGTGTCACTTTCTTACTTAAAACCTTAATCAACTGGGAAAGGGGATTAACTGAGATGATACAAGGAATCTTATTGGGATGATGAAAATGTTCTAAGAATGGTTGATGGTGGTGAATAAAAAACACAGAAGCTTTACTAAACAGTCACTGGGTTGTGCTCTTAAAAACAGGCTAATTCTATGACATGTAAATTTACCTTAATGGTATTATTTGAGGATAAGTTCTTAACAGTTCCAGCCTAAAACAATCTGAAGTTGTGTCTGCAAGTATGCTGTGGACTGGTGTCTGTGTACTCTCTGTCTTTATGTACAGTGAGAGAGGTGAGACACGTGAGATGGGGCTTCGAAATTTTACACAGCAATTTGGCATTGCTGTGATATATTTTAATGTGGCTTACAAAAGTCCTGGTCCACAATGAGTTAAGAGAAGTGGTCTCTCCCTACTGACAGTTTGAGAACCACTGTTGTAGATGACAGGCTGAGCGCTAGCTTGTTAGCCTGGCATTCAACCCCCGTGACCAGCTTTCTCTGCAAGTTCATTTTCCTGTACATCTCTTCTGCAACACATACTTAAAGACCTTGGTTTCTGCTGGATATGGTAGTACACACCTATAATTCCAGCATTTGGGAGGCTGGGGCAGGAGTATTGATGTGAGTTTAAGCCAGTCTGGGATGCATAGTGAGTTCTAGGATACTCAGGGCTACAGAGTGAGACTCTGTCTCAAAAAACAACAGAAAACCAAAATAACAAAAAACCAAAATACAAAACAAAAAAAGAACTTTGTTTCCAAATTCTGTATAATCTCACTCTCGATTGTTCCCATCTTCATCGTACACAGTCATCCCTGCCCCAACATCTCAGATGCCTTTCCCTCCCTTTTCCAATGTATTTTATTCACCCTTCCAGATTCTAACTGTCCTCTGTTCTTGGAAGCCATCCCCCTTGTCTCTCCTACACAACAGCCCCTCCCTGACTAGTCAGTTTATCTCTCTGAGCCTTATCTCTTCATCTGTAGAAGATGGGTGCTAATGGTACCCCCATCAGGTTCTTAGTTTATAAGAGGTTTCAGTGCCTGCATTCCCTCAGCCATGGGGAGTCACGTATGTCCTGCAATGCTGAAATTATACACATCAGTCTCCTCCTGAAAGGAGGCAGGCGCTGTGCTGGATCACCTCTGAATTCATGGACAAGCCATGGAGAAGCCCAGTCAACATGAGTTGAATGACTCAACACATGAGGCTCTTCCTAGACCCACCCCACTATAGGAAGGGCAAGGGGTGAATATTATCATTATCACCTACTACAAAGAGAGCATGGTTAAGTGCCATACCTGGTAGAAATGAGGCCAGAAGGTGCTGATCGCAAGCTCCGTCTTCACCCAGCCCTCAGTGACGACCCCGGACACGTTCCAGACGGGGTTCCCTTGGGGACCACCATTGACCTTCACGTAGACATTCAAGGCTCCTGGACTAGAGCGATCTCGGCTGGAGAAGTAGTAATGGAAGTCTATGCAGTGTGTGTCATTCTCCTTGAGTGTGGGCAGAAGAAGATGGGCCTTCTGACCTGAGGCCCTCCCAGAGCTGTTCACCATCATGAAGGACCCTGGAGACCCACAGTGTGGGGGTGGGGAGAGAGAGAGAGGGAATGAATCCTTCTGAAATCTGGTCATATAAAAACATGGTATTCAGAGGGGTAGCTGGAGATTAAGTCCCTTTAGGAGACAGGGTCTAGTTGATTCTTGGGAAGCTACATTCCTTCTCTGAATCTGGGTGACTTTTTCCTGAAACTGAGATGTAAAATCTGTATTCACTACGGGACTTGAATAAAGAGACAGTAACATATAGGAAGTATTTCTGTATGGTAGACAGTTTATAAATAAGTACAGCTTTTAAAGGAAGCAAGGAATAAGAACTCAGGAAGTCAACCGCAGCCTCTGCAGAGGAAAAGAGATAGGAAATGGCCTCAAGCAAACTTGAGCTTGTTCCAGTTGAAGCAAAACCTCTACAGTATGGGAGGGAGGGGGTCCGTGTTCTAACAGAGCCACCTGGAGTCCTTCATGAAGCACTAAGGATCACATGTTGAAGGAGAATATATAAAAATAGAATATATCCAAGTAAGAAATAAATCCCTGAAGAAGTATGAGAACCAACTGGATAATGTTTGGAGAGGAAGGGAAAACAAGTGATACTCACTAAGCACTTACAGAGACAAGTGTGGATGGCAGAGATCTATTTGCAGAAAGTTTAACTATTTCTAAACATGAGGAAGGCTACTTCACACACAGGAGTGAGCCTCTTTTGAATTCTTGTGACAGATGGAATGATAGTCTCCAATTATTTACTCCTCCCTGGATCCAAGTTCTTTACAATTGGCATTTCAGTTCTCCCTGTAGAACAAGAAGTTCTCTTTGTCCTTTGACTTTGGACTCCATTATGTGACTCGTTAATAGCAAAAGTCAAGCAGAGACTTAAAAGTGTCATTCTGCCTGGCTAGTTCTCTTGTTTTACTGTTTCCTTTTATGAGAAGAATGTACTCTATGTAGCCTCTGCCCCTATTGACTTGGAATCAAGAATAAAATATGTAGACAAGTCATGAATAAAGAGGCAGTCTATGCTACTTGAAAGCAAGATATACAACCACATGGTCAACACACCCAATTGGCATCAGTCAACCCACAATCAGTGCACCCAAGAGCCAGATTCAGATACACCACAATGAGGAAGCACATATCAGCTCTCTGTGCAAAGGATTTTATCACAACTTAAACTAGTGCAAAATGGAATCAACTGCCCAGAGATAAAGTAAGGCTCCATCACTACAAGTGACTCCACAAAGCCCAGGCCAACTGAAATGCCTAAGGGAATTTCATAATCAAGGCGGGAGGCTGAACTCTGGGACTTAAAGTCTTATGATTCTACTGAATAAACTGCATCATAAAACACAGTAGATAAACTCCAGTAATGCTGGGATGAATGTTTTCCATCCAGAAAACCAGAATTGCTTTGAAATCCTATTGTACCCACTAAAATCTTCATTCAGAATGAGGCCCTAATGCTTCTTATTCCCAGCCAAGATAAGCCACCTCACCCTAATGCCAGAAGGGCTAACAGCTGCCAGTTAATAAGTGCTGAGTTATCCACATGGTGTTGGGGTTTTAGAAACTACCAATCATTTACACCTTGTCTTTTCTGGGTTCTGAATGGATTTAAAAGTAGATACAGAAGGGAGACTACAATAAAAACTTCCATATAATTGCACACAAAGTTCAATTCAAGAAAATATCAGTCTCAAGACCAAATTCAGCTTTAGGTACTCCCCACATCGCATCTATCTATAGTCACCTATATAGACTAGCTAGATGTCCCAGACTCCAGCCCTGACCTCATCCACATTACCAGGGCCAGAGGTATTCTTATTCTTGCGGCATGATCACTTAACAGCACTTGGATGCACTCAAATAAAAAAGGACCCAACAAGGAGACAAGGTGACAAGCACAGAGAAACCTGACAACAGATTTTCAACAACCTACCAATCAGAAGTCACCCACCTCCTAGGGGACTAGCCACTGGAAAGGGATCAAGAGTTATCAAGATCATAAGGCACCCTCCTTCACAGGCTGGCAGTAACTTAGGGTAAGTTGAGAGATGTCTCCCTGGCATGGATGTTATCTAATTATTATATCCCCTGCAATGAGGCAGCGAGGAAGAAACCACTAATGGGGCCATTGTGACTCAGAGTGGAGACTAAGTCAACATCCATACCTGCCTCTGACTTCTGGTCTACCCACAGGATTCTGACAGGTCCTCTTTGAATGTGACTAATGACTCACAAGGTTCACAAAGGGTGGTGGGTCATCTTTGCCACTGAGTAGTCACATATCTCCCAGGAGGGGAGGAAGCCTGAAAACGGAGGTGTGATAGACTCTGTTCTGGGTTCTACGAAGGTCCCCATGTACATTCAGCTCCTGCACCTCTGCCAACCCACACCTCAGTTTCTTATACTCCACAGGAGAGAAAATTGGGAGAGTGTTACCTCCATCTACTCCTGTCACCATTTCCGTTCATCCTGGCTTCAGTAGCTGAGCAAGCCTGCTGGGGAGCTGGAATTTACAGTTTGGTATAGCCTCATGCACAGCCATGAGCAAAGAGACAGAGGACATCCCAGTCTTCCGCCATTGTTTAGAGGAAACATGAAGCTCAGTTTCAGACAAAGAAGTCAGAATATGATGTGTGCCTGTGCCAGGCCTGGTGCATAACAACTGTTTTGCCCCATACTCCCACATCCATGCTCATCATCTTCTCTCCCAAAGGTTGTTTTTTTGGCCAACACTTCAGCATCACCTAGGATCTCAGAAGACGTGAGGATTTCAGACTCCTATAAGCTTATTTGATCTTCACCTACATTTCTATCAAGAACCTTGGATGATACGTACACACATAAAAATACGAGAATGACTGGTCCTTTTTCCTTTTCTTGCCCTCACTGAATGTTCTGGATTTTAAGAGTACACAGCCACAATGAAAGAACAAGGGTGGTCATGATTATGATGATCACCCACCTCTCAGGAACACTCGTTTGGGATTTGAAGGGTCCCTTTACAAGGAATAAACTATTATTGGGTTATGGAGCCAGTACAATTTTTAGGTTTATATTTCCATAGTTAACAGTATCATCATTGTTTGGGCTGCTGGTAAGACCTCTATCTCTCCCAAGTTCCATTATTCAAGGGAGAGAATGTGAAAGGATAATTACTAAGCAAACTTACAAGATGCTCTAAATAGAAGTATCTTTAGGAGCAGTAATGCCGGGTGGTTTGAAATAGAAGAGAATATGCAAAGGCACCGTGGCAGGAAGCCATGACAGCCAGAAAGGTGAGTGTAGTGTGTTAGGGCATGTGAGATGGGGCATCATTAGCCCCCTCCATGAGATATCTGGCCACACCCTCCAGAAAAGCAAGAGCTGTATCTGAGTTGAACCCAGTCTACCATTTCTAAGACTGCTCAAGAGTGAGAGCCCTGTTCCGCAGCTGCTCAGTGGGGCCCTTTGATCAACAGGTTGGCGTAATTAATATCAACCAGGGCTGTCAGTTTCCTGGAGATCAAAAATGACCCAGTTATTATGACAAGATCAGTCAAGAAACAAGAGGAAGGCTGTAAATACATTATCCTTTGCCCTTAAAAAACGGCACCAACTTGATAAGGAACATAAAACAGCGTTAGTTTCTTCACAGTTATTATACATACCGCTGAAAATCATTGAAATAAACCAGGAAGCACTCTCTGGCTGGCCATGAATTGTGTGTTTTCCCCCTCCGTGCACAATAACGCCTTGATAAGCACCCTGTTACTGATGTGTCTGCCACACAGATCCCCTTTCTGGAGGCTACAAGCTTCTCAGTAGCAGATGGCGGCTATTGTGTTTACACATGAGCACCTCAGGATTGCATTTCCTCACGTCGGCAGTAAAAAGAAGGTCCTAATTGAGTTTTTAATGGCTTTGCACATTGTTCATTAAGATTACATGAGTGTACTCAGGCGATTGGCAGCTGAAGGCCTGCATCTCTGAGAACACGGAGTGGTCCCTGAAGACAGGTGGCCTGCCAGTTTCCAGTGCCAAGACCTATGTGGAGGGAAGGGATCGAGGCAGAGACCCAAGAACTGCTGAAAGCCAAGCAGCTGTGGCAGCGTGGAACAAGTCCTGGACACTCACCAGAAAACTAGTTTCCATTCTAAATTCTGCTGTTTCTTATTGCTGTGACTTTGAGCAAGTCAGTAAAAATTCCTGGGCCTCAATGTTTTCATCCATAAAATGGAATGAAAAATTGACATATAGAAGGAAGCTTTGTGTTCATTTCAGTGAGCATTAAATGATAAACAGTGCTTGACTCAGTAAATGTGGATTTTATAATAAATGGCCAGGCACAGATGACACTGGTCCATTGAGGTTCACTGAAACCCTTCCACTTGTCAAGAATTCATCTGAACACCATTTAGCATTCCAGTGAAGCGGTATCACGTTAGCCTGTGTTTAAGACAGGTATACAGAAGCACAGGAAGGTAGAGTCACTTATCGAAAAGCCACTGAACCAAACAAAAATATAAAGCAGATGCTCAGAACAATTATAGTATCCTGATACAGCAAGCAAAGTCTTCAGGGTCTGGAAATGCATTCTTTAAACAGGTCCTTGATAGCAACATGTACCCATTTAAATTTAAAATTAATTAAAGTCAGATGCAAGTAGAAATCATTTTCAAGAGATACCACATCTCCAGTGCTCAGTGCATGGCTAGTGGTTACCATGGATATGATGCACTGAAGAACCCTTCCACCATCAAAGAGAGCTCTGTTAGTTAACACTGGTCTAGAAATTGTGATTTACTCACCAAAGCATAACGAATGACATCCAGGTGAGAGAGAAATTCAATTAATGCAACCTCTTAATTTTATAAGTCCATTTGGGGGTGGGGCAAGGGACTTGTCCAAGGTCACACAACATGGCGAAGACTGAAACAGTGAGTTCCTGACTTCATTTCAGTTTTTACTATGGCTGACTCCACAGTTCCTGCCTAAGGTGCAGTTACTGGTTCCCAGGGTTCTCTGC